CGCCAGAGGTTCGGCCATTTTTAAAACGTGAATGCCACACAAAAGTTTGCGGACTCCCCAAATGTTTGCTTTAGCATTTCATAGGTTTCCTTAGCCGTTTTGGCGAGTCTTTGGCAAAATTTGATTTGTTCATGAAAATCCGCCATTCCGAAATCGCAGGAGGGTCGGTGTAATGCACTACCAAAACGCCCGTAACTAAGAAACAAATGCTAATTCGATGATGCCGGCTGGCACACTGATTCACTATGAATGTAGGCCGCACCCCCTAAAGGCAGAAGCTCTTACTACATCCGGTTCGCCCGCTATTGACACAGTCTGGAAACTTTCAGATCGCACCTCGTATAACATATGCAGCTGAGAAAATGTTGAATAGGATAAGAATAAGAAATTGTGTGAGTAATACGATTACTTGCATGTTATGTTATTTAAACATATGGGGTTTGAGGAAATTTGGATTTTAGTTTTCTGAGTTGTGATATCATGTAATTTTGAACGTCATTACCAGTGTTATCAAGGAATCTGTTGCATCCATCCTTAGGGAAATTTTCTTCTTCCTGTGGCGCAGCAGCCCGAAGTTGAGCCTTGGCCTCCTCCCGTGAGGGAGGTTCTTTATCTTTGAAGTGTACATTTGTGAGTGACCATCTCACTGCCTCTGCACAATTTCTACTCAATCCTGATTTGTCTGCTAGAGCCATCTAGCAGTGAATCAGGTGAGACTCGGGTGAGAAATGGCCGCTGAATTTTGCTTACGAATCATCTTGTATCATGCTCGTGAGGTTCTTTTACGTGCCGTAATTCTGCAACGGACCGCGGGCTTTACTTCCATTCTGAAGGAAGTTGTGCTACGAATTTTTATCACCCCTAAAAATCCATCGACCACTGCCAGGTTTGAACCCATGAACCTTGGGGTCCATTGGCGAACACGCTAACCACTAGTTCACCAAGGGCGACATCCTTAGAGCAATAGTCCTCATATTTCGTTATTTTATAAAATTGAATTCAGGCATTAAAATTGCTTTTTCGTTTTGTGTGTGCAGGTGAGCATATCAACCAGCTTTTAAGTCGCTATGGCTCACCGATTATCATTCTGAATCTGGTAAAGAAACGCGAGAAGAAGAAACATGAGAGCATGCTGAGTGAGGAGTTCAGCTCTGCAGTCAAGTACCTGAACCAGTTCCTGCCACCTGAACATCATATACAGTATATAAGCTTCGACATGGCTCGGATGAACAAGGGGTCAGTATGACCACTCTCCGCCTCAGTCACCCCATATAAGAAACCAAGATAAAGCATATAGAATTTTTTATTGAAGCATTAATTGTGAGACGGGTATCTCAGTTGATACAGTGACTGACTAGGGGCTGGACGATCGGGGTCTGATGTTCGACAGGGGCAGAGGATTTTCTTCTAAACTATGTGTCCAGACTGGCCCCCCTGGGGCCCACCCAGCGTCCCATTCAGTGAGTACCTGGGATCCTTTTCCCAGGGATAAAGTGCAGCCGGGATACGACGCTGACCGCTCGCCCCCTCATCTAGTGCCGAGATTGAGAATGAATAGTAGCTGTACCTCCTCTCCGCTGTGTACCTGCACGGTGTGTAATGGGGTAGCTCTTTTATCAATCATTAATACATCAGCACTGTATCTCCATGCAGTCAGTGGGTTTTGGTTGCTCGATTGTTTTGTTTTGTGGCACTTCGAAGAGTTGAGCGAAAGAAACCAAGTACAAATTATCAGTATTGACACCATCAGTTGCTCGTATGAGAGCTCAACACGTTACGCAACAAAAGAGGAACGTAGTATCCTCGTGTAAATGTCAGGCAAACGGCAATGGAATGTTTCATTTCTGAGCATTCAAACGGATGGGCAAAACTTACTCCAGAGCTGGTCTTTGATTTTGGTCGTATTTTTAATATTATCAAAACAATTGATTATATTTTTGTAAGAAACGATATCTGCCGTTCAGATGTCTGTCTGTACGTAATCACTAAAAGTTAAGTTATAAGACACTTTTTACTTGTGATATGTTTGGGCTAAATTGTGATAAAGATTACAGCAGTCAAAGTGATTTCATTATTAAGAACCGTGTATTATAAAGGAGAGGATAATTCAATTCTCATTTTCTGTTCACAAATTGAAGGTTGGTGTCCTTGAATTTATCATATAGTGCGTAGGTTAAGAATGAGTAGGAGCTCTCCCTCCTCTCCGCCCAAGCACCTAAATGGTGTGTAGTGGAACAAGCTTTACTTTTTTTTCCTATTTATGTAATGGTTAAGTTTCGAAACCACTGCCTGAAGTTGTCCGTAAACCATATCGAATGCTCTGTGACATAAATAGCATTTCTATTACTGTAACATGACCCATTGCATTATATTTATTATTATATTTTTTTTGTAGATCTCACATAAAGGATACTGGTGTACAATTATATTTATTTAATTACGTTGTTGTCTGGCTTATGTTGAATTTCAGTCGAACATTTGGCATGCCAAGTGCAAACAGAAAGTTTCCAAGTTTTATGAACTTAAAATAATAATAAAAAATATGTATGTTTATTCGTGCACATGTATTGTCTCAACTTTTTTACCTTTTTCTCTGTCCACTGTAATACGAGGCGCGTCCTCAAAGTAAGTTTCCCACTCGTCCCACAGCTAGCAAACCTTATATTGCGCGAAGTGACTGTGCGTACGTGATAGAGCAATGATGTAGCATGGCGCATGCACTAACGGAACTTCCCGCGTTCTCACAGTAGCATCGTTGCAGCTGTTGAAGATGGAGGTTCTTATTCCAGCTCCCGCCGACTGTGAAGTGCGGTCAGTGATAACGCTAGGCCGCACACGGCTCGACGGACAGCAAGTCTCCTGCAGGAGTTCAGCTGGGAGGTGTTTAATCATCCACCCTACAGCCCGGACCTCGCTCCCAGTGATTTCCATCTTTTCCTACACCTCAAGAAATTCCTGTCCGGTCAGCGTCAGCGTTTTGAGAATGACAGAGAGGCGGAGATGGCTGTCACACAGTGGTTCCAATCCCAGGCGGCAGACTTCTACGACACAGGTATTAAAAGTTGGTCCCACGGTATGACAAATGTCTCAATTCCGGTGGCGAATATGTTGAAAAATAGCTGGACACTTGCTGTATCTGTTGCAATAAATATTTCCATGAAATTGTGCTTTGTTTCTGTAAACGGCCCCAGGGAAACTTACTTGGGGGACGAGCCTCGTATGTTGTGTGGTTCAGTCAGGTTCACAACTCGCTTATCTGAAATATCATCATCCCATCTCAGTCCTTCAGGTGGTATCTTCCCCATGAGAGTTCCAACGTGTGTACTCGCTGTGTGGGATCTCCCAGTCAAGCACCAACGCCACCGAAAGGTGGATTTAAAATCGATACAATGACAACAAAGTATAAATTACACTGCAAACTTTTACGTAGTATTTCTTGAGCTAAATAACATCGTTCATTTTGTTTTATAAATCAGTAAATCGAAGGACTCACACTGCTCTAATTCTTCAAGAACGACTCATTACTACGATTTAGTTTTAACATTGCCCAATGGTGTGCGAGGTAAGAAGTCAAACATAAATGTCCATACCAACTAAAACTAGGTCCACTCCAAATTCCCTTCGTACGATGTTATCCGTTTCACTTCGTCTGCCCTAACCGCCATTATTCATTAAGTCAAATATTCGCTTTGATATCTTACAATCTAATTATCATCGAGGGACTATTTTAACGTGGCATTAAATTCCTAAATGCATGGAGATAACGAAGCTGTCGCAAAACATTTCTCAAGTAGTGTCAGTACGAATCTAGAACCCTACTAGCAATGTTAATCATTAAGGAACATATTTTGACTGTCAACACCGTGTCGAAATAATGATCACGTTCTCGAGGCGGTGAGTATGAAGAAGACATACGACGCTGACCGCTCGCCCCCTCATCTAGTGCCGAGATTGAGAATGAATAGTAGCTGTACCTCCTCTCCGCTGTGTACCTGCACGGTGTGTAATGGGGTAGCTCTTTTATCAATCATTAATACATCAGCACTGTATCTCCATGCAGTCAGTGGGTTTTGGTTGCTCGATTGTTTTGTTTTGTGGCACTTCGAAGAGTTGAGCGAAAGAAACCAAGTACAAATTATCAGTATTGACACCATCAGTTGCTCGTATGAGAGCTCAACACGTTACGCAACAAAAGAGGAACGTAGTATCCTCGTGTAAATGTCAGGCAAACGGCAATGGAATGTTTCATTTCTGAGCATTCAAACGGATGGGCAAAACTTACTCCAGAGCTGGTCTTTGATTTTGGTCGTATTTTTAATATTATCAAAACAATTGATTATATTTTTGTAAGAAACGATATCTGCCGTTCAGATGTCTGTCTGTACGTAATCACTAAAAGTTAAGTTATAAGACACTTTTTACTTGTGATATGTTTGGGCTAAATTGTGATAAAGATTACAGCAGTCAAAGTGATTTCATTATTAAGAACCGTGTATTATAAAGGAGAGGATAATTCAATTCTCATTTTCTGTTCACAAATTGAAGGTTGGTGTCCTTGAATTTATCAGTATCATGAAAGGAATTTATGTTACGCACTGTTGTAGAAGATTGCGGTATTTTATTATGGTTATTATTGCCGCATTTTGAGATTGTGAGTATTGCAAGAAAATCTGACATGCAGGTCCTGTTAAGAACAGGGATTAGTCAGTCAGGACCTCTGTTTCTTGTTTAATTTGAGCTTTTATTTTTTTCAGAAAAGAAGCAAATGTAATGGGGCGTCTCGCTCAGATAGCTTACAATGCTGTGTGTAAGACAGGAATATTTCAGAACCAGAAGCCTTACCACTCGCAGAACCCACGGTACGTTTTGGGGAAACCTTTCATTGGACTGCATGGCGTGCAGTGCCGTCTCCAGACCGGAGTCATCCGCGTGAATTGTGTGGACTGTCTCGACAGAACCAACACTGCTCAGTTTGCGATTGGAAAATGTACGCTGGGTTTCCAGGTGAGTAGCTCATTCGCGTTAGCGCACGTCTCTCATTTTGGAAGGCTGGTGGTTATGATATCGCGTGAACACATTCAGACATAACTTGGAAATGCACTAGTTGTGCACGTATCCTCACAGGTTTTTCCCGGAAGATAAGTTTCTGAACGCTTGTGTATGAGAAATGGTTGTGAGGAGAGATGAAGTTGCAGAGTGAGAAATTTCATAATTTTGTATTCTTCACCAAACATTATGACAAAAAATGGAGAGGATGAGAGAATGGGTCTAGTTCCATGGATGAGAAGATAAAAATATGCATACAGAATTTTCTTCAGGAAATCTGAATGGAAGAGACTGTTTGGGGATCTTCTTACACTTGCGGATCAGATGTAATAATTTGTTCCTGATCACTAGTGCAGAGTTTCCTTTTGGCTTCTATTCTCTCTGTATTAATGCACATATGGTTGTGGCAAAGCAGTTCCCTGCTCTCCTACCCAGCAGGAGAGAAGAAAAGTGACTTTTGTCCTGCATCAGATTTGAAAGCTAAAAGTTAATATATTTCTTGATAATTGCTAGTTGCTGATAGCCGTATAGAAATATGACATGTTAGGCGATATGACAAACAAGACGCTGTCTTGAGGAGGAACAAAAGGAAGGAAAGAGTTTTGGTTTTCGCGGCTACGACTGTGAGGATGGCTCTCTTCTGGGATATTGCGCTGCTTAGTCTGGTAGAAGTTTACCAATATTTCAGATGTTCTTACTGCCTCCAACATCAGACCACCCTGATAATGGAGACATTAAGCTCCTCTGAACTGTCAGTCCGTTGAAATGGTAGTTTGAAAGACATATGTTATTTAACCGTCTGTAGCAGTATGGCAGTTTCTGCGCAGAAAACAGACGTGCATGAAAATTATTTCTCTGTGACGGCTCCGAGGTATGTTGTAAGGTGGGTGCTGACAATTCAGACAAAATCCGCAGCTGTATCACATTCCGTGTTCCTTTAAAGCGTAAGTGGTGCAGCGTGACTTGGTGTGTGTTACAGTTATGTGCCCTGGGAGTGCTGGATGCACCTACGTTGGAGTTTGATTCTGACTGTGTCCGCATGCTGGAGGAGCTATACGAGGATCATGGAGACACGTTAGCCCTGCAGTATGGGGGCTCCCAGTTGGTCCACCGCATCAAGACTTACAGGAAGACAGCTCCTTGGACTTCCCAGGGCAATGACATAATGCAGACACTCAGTCGATACTACAGCAACACGTTCTCAGGTTGAGTCAGTGATACAACATTTATTCACACACACTGTGGTGCAGGAAATTCTGTGAAAAGTCGATTGTACACTCGATTTGTCTAAGGAAAGCCCACTTTCTTTCTGGAACCCGAAGGTTCATCACCGAGTTTACAAAGGCCCATCATCAGACTCTATCCTGAGCTAGCTGCATCCAGTTCACCCCATTGATTCCAATCTCCCTCTGGTCCATCTTAACGTTATCCTCCCACCTTCACAGCGGTCTCCTCCCTTCAGGCCTCCGAAAAAATACCACATAAACACCCCTCCCCTCCCCTCCCCCATGCGTGCTGCGTGTTCCACCCACCTCATCCTCCATGATTTAATCACCCCCATTGATTCCAATCTCCCTCTGGTCCATCTTAACGTTATCCTCCCACCTTCACAGCGGTCTCCTCCCTTCAGGCCTCCGAAAAAATACCACATAAACACCCCTCCCCTCCCCTCCCCCATGCGTGCTGCGTGTTCCACCCACCTCATCCTCCATGATTTAATCACCTGAACGTCAGGTGAGGAGTACAGGCCGTGATGCCCATCATCATGCAATTTTCTCCATGATCCATCTTCCTCCCTCACAGGTTCAAGTATCCTCCTCAACACTCTGTTCTCAGAGGCCCATCATCATGCAATTTTCTCCATGATCCATCTTCCTCCCTCACAGGTTCAAGTATCCTCCTCAACACTCTGTTCTCAGAGACCCTCAATCTATGATCCTCCCTGAAAGTGAGAGACCAAGTTTCACACCCATACAGCACAACAGGCAAAATTACACTTTTGTGTATTTTAACCTTTAGTTTTTTTTTTAATAGGATACGGGAGGACAAAAGATTTTGGACCGAATGAGAGCAAGCATTCCCTCAATTTAATCTGCTCTTGGTTTTGTCATAAATGTCATTCTGACTTGTGACTGTCGATCCCAAGTATTTGAATTTTGTCATATTTTTTAATGGTTCATTAGTTATCCTCATATTTTGGTTATGTCCTGAATTCTTATGCCGAGACATCATTATGTACTTTATTTTTTCTGTATTTATTTCTGGACCAGAGTCCCTAATAGCCCTCAAGAGTATTCCTGCGTTCGCTCGTATTGTATTTACCGTCGCCCGACAAATTAGTATCATCAGCATAGACGAAAAGCTGATGTGTGCCACTCGGTTCCAAACTGCCCTGATTTTCTTGGACTTTCCCGATGTTATATTCTAAGGCAAAATTTGAACACAGCGACAATAGAGCATCTCCCTGTTTCGGGCCATTCTGAATAGGAAACGTATGAGACAAATGCGTACCTACACGAATTTTGCTAGAAGTTTCACTTTAACACTTTAATTAGCCTGACTAGTTTCTTAGGTACACCACATTCAAGCGAAACATTGTAAAGAGCTTCTCTTTCAGGTGCGTCATAGGCTTTCTTAAAGTCTGTAAATAGTTGATGGATTGTCCCATTGTGTTCCCACATTTATAACTTGTGTTGGGCAAGGCCGTGGTCTAGGCAACACGGATTTTTCCTCCGGGGGCTCCCCCGGTTTCTCCGTGGCATCCCAACAATTACTCCATTCACACACAGAAGAAGGCAATGGCAAACCACTTCTGGATCATCTGCCAAGAACGTATATGAACAGGTCCCAGTCCGAGAAAAGGATGGAAGGATCCTGTTCATATGGACCTGTCGTCAGACAGAACACTAAATAAAATAAAAAATAATCTTAGCGAATGTAGAAACTTTTATCGGTTGTAGATCTGTTACGACTGAACCCATTTCATTAGCATATGGAGCCAGCCTTGTCATAAGAATGTTGGATAAAATTTTGTATGCATATGATAAGGAAATTCCTCTATAATTGTTACAATGTCTTATCACCTTCTCATGAATCGGTACAAAAAATATGAGATTCCTTCCACCGCTGTGGCAACTCCTCCCTACTCCATATGGAGCAAATTAGTCTGTGTATCTCGGAACGCAACGTTTCACCTCGTGCTTTGACGAGTTTGGCCAGAATCTGATGCGTGCCTTTTTCAGCTTCTCAATAAGGCTAAGTTCCAGGATTAATGCCTCGGCTGTAAGTAAGACTTTTCATTAAAAGGAGGAATATATTTTACTACAGTGTATATTTAACAAAGTATGTCCGTGGGGCGTTTGCACCCTTGCAACAACAGATTTGTTTCTGCAGTAAATAAGTATCAAGTGAAATTAGAAATGCAGAACTGTGGGAAATATTTGTTTTTCTACTCTTGTGTATTTTCATTTTAAAATGTTTTACGTCGTCAGTCAATATAATATGACGCTGGTCGCAATGATGCCGCAGATGCCGAGAAGCAGCACACCATGAACCTGTTCCTGGGATTGTTTGTTCCTGATGAGAGCAAGCCTCCCATTTGGGAGCTGATGACGGACTACTATCTCCATCATCCACAAGCACTTGGACAGAAGAAAGTGAAAAGGTATTTTATTCATTCTGTAATGTGATGCAGCTACAAAACCAGCTTTACTAGTCTCAAACACTGAGTTTTCATTGCCGTTACACATTGTCCTGAGCCAGTTCACAACTCTTTTGTCTAACGTACCTCTGAAAGTTTCCCTCAGTGGACTAGTGGTTAGCGTGCTCGCCGCTGGACCCAAGGTTCAATCCCGGCCGAGGTCGATGGATTTTTAAGGGTGATAAAAATCCGTAGCACAACTTCCTTCGGAGAGGAAGTAAAGCTGGCGGTCCCATGTCGTAGATTTACGAACATTACGAGCATGATACGAGATGTTTCGTAAGCAAAATTCAGCAGCCATTTCTCACCCAAGTTTCTCCTGATTCACTGCTAGATGGCTCTAGCAGACAAATCAGGAGTGATTAGAAATTGTGCAGAGGCAGTGGGCTGATCACTCACTACTCACAAATGCACGCTTCAAAAAGATGAAGAATCCTCCTAAGTGGGGAGGTCGTGGCCCGAAAACTGGCCGAAGCACCGTAGATGATGGTGATGACATCTTAATGTTATCCCACCATCTACATCTAGATTTCTGAAGTGGTCTCCTTCCTTCAGGTTCACAACTAATCACTTATACTTGAGGTTGTGACCAAATTAGCATTCTGGGAGTTGTCAGTGAGTTTTTGATTAGTAACCAGAAATATTTCTTTCTTTTTATGCTAAAAATTGGCAAAAATTTAAACCTGAGGCTGAGGAATTCCAGTAACCAATTTTTTTTTTTCAAAATAAGTTGAGAACCAGACAGCAGAAAGGTTAGGTCATTTTGCTGTGGTCCCTGGAGATTCTTTCTGTTGTGGCAGAGTCCCCCGAAGTCAGTGGTGGAATGCTGAGGTGCTGCGGTACCTGCCTCGGGCGTACGACGACGTTTTCAAGAGCTGCAGTGACGTCATGCAGGTGGGCAGAGATGAGGAAATGGCGGATGGTTACGTGGACTACCACCGCCCGTACGAGTTCAGTGTGCTGAGCGAGATGTTTGCGTACAAGATCAGCCACTCTGTCAGGTACATAGTGTTTAGATCAGTATCAGAAGTCTGTGTGCGTGTGTCAGTTTCTGTCAGTGTGACTAGTTTGTTCAGTCTGTTAGATTTTAAAGCACAAATGCTTATATAGTTCTCGTGAAGTTTAATACAAGATTGAAATGCAGTTTATGCATCTATAATGTCATTCACGTTTCAGTGACTATACAGTGAAACCTCGATGCATCGTTTTTGGAGGGGGTTGGAAATAAAAACGACGATAGTTACGGGAAAGCATTAAAAATGGGAAAAAAGTGAATTTTTCTCTTTGGCATACACTCAAATCTGTTTCTAAGTTACTTCTTTTTACCAGAAAAAGTCTTTAATGGACAACTGGTTTGTCAAAACTTTACGTTTTAGGCCAAACAGGACCAAACAGAGTACTTTCCACGTTCAAAATGTTTTCCTCGTCACGTTCGCTAATATTATGGGCATAAAAGAACGACTTCACTTTTGCCAATGCAGCGTGTGCTTCGGCAAAAACTCTGGCACAGCTTCGGGCTCGCTTTCGTGGTCTTCCTCGTCCTCAGCGCTCCCAACCCATTCGCGATCATCACACATATCATCAATGGTGTTGACTCCGCATGTGGCAAGCTCGCTGTGTATACTGCCACGTAATCACCAAATTTAATCACGTCTTTCACGGCGCCAAATCGATTCCAGTCTTCGTGAAAGCCATCATGCCCATCCTCTTCATCCACACTGACCTTAGAGTCTGCTTCTGCGCGAAGTTCACACCCGTAGCCACCTTTGCGAAAACAACTCACAACAGTTGGTTGGGAGACTTGCTTGTAGCACGTCAGTTTTCATGTCGACATCCTTCCCAGCATCCATTACACAGACAGCTGTTTGCACAAGGCGCTTTCTATACAACTGCTTGAAAGATTTTATGATGCCCAAATCAAGCGGTTGCAAGACGCTCGTGCAATTTGCTGGATACTGCACGACTTTCACATTTCGTAGAAATGTCGTGTCCTTCGGATGAGCGGCACAATTATCAACAAACAGCAAAATCTTTCTGCCTTGTGCGCCCATGGAGGCATCCAGAGAACTTAAAAACGCCGTAAAGATGTCTGTTGTCATCCAAGCCTTTTTGTTGGCGTGATATTTCACCGGAAGTTTTTTCATGTTTTTGAAACAACGCGGTTTTCGTGATTTTCCAACTACAATCGGAACCCGTTTGTCACTACCGTCACTGTTAACACACAGAAGAACAGTAATTCGGTGTTTTGCACGTATTCCCCCGTGGCAAGATTCACCTTTCAATGCCAGAGTCCTATCCGGGAGGGCGTTGTAGAAAAGTCCGGTCTCATCCGCATTATAAATGTCCCGCGGCTCATATCCCTCCAGCAGTGTTGGCAGTCTCTCGAGCCACAGCTCCGTTACTTCCACATCCACAGCAGCACTTTCGCCGGCTAACTTCTTGTAGACCATACCATGTCGTTCTTTAAACCTACTAATCCAGCCATTCGACGCTGCAAAATTTTCAATATTCAGTCTTGCGGCTATCGTCTTGGCTTTTTCCCGCAAGATGTTGCCATCAACAGGAATTCCTGAGGCCCGCGATTGCTGGTACCAAGTGAAGAGGACACTTTCTAGCTCACTGAAAGTTGATTTCCTTCCGGTTTTCCTTTTTTTGCATGAATTACCGCACTTGTCAGTTTGTTTTCGGATTTCTTTCTTCTTTGCAAGGAAGAATCGAAGTACTATTACTGCCGAACTCGACGAAACGTAGCCGTAGAAGACACTGAACCACTGGAAACCAGAAGAATGAAAAGTGTCACCGGCCTTTCCTTTGTACTTATAATAAAAGCATTCTAAGAACATCGGGTAAATTTCGTTATAATTTCTCAGAAACGATCATTGCGGGAAAATTGTGGGCCAGGACTAAGATTTTTGAACGATCGATGCGATAAAACGATAGTTCGAGGAACGATAGAAGCGGGAAAATGTAACATTATTTTATATGGGATGTATCCGGGACCGAACAAAACGGACGATGCATCCGGGAAAACGATAGTTCCGGGAACGATGGATAGAGGTTTCACTGTATAATTAGCGTTTGTCTCGTTTTTCTTTCATTCTGTATTCTTTCTTGTCTTTGGTCTTTATTCCTTCTATATTACTATTAATCCTTGTTAACATCTTCATTTCTTGCCTAGACCTGGTATAAGTTAATAAAATTTACTGCTGGACGCTTTTGCATTCTTTTCTCGTTTCTGTTCGTAACCTGTGTTTTGAGTCAAGTCTTCAAGCATCGATGCATTCTGGGAATATTACGTCTTTATTGCGTGCATAACTGATTCACGGCATTCTATTATGTGCAGGGACTTCATGCCTCACTTCACAACAAACTTCAGTCCGTTCACGGTGCGTATTCGTCCAGGTCGGAGGAGAGAAGACTCGTCCTCGAAAGGTGGTACTATGAAGAACCCGTCCCTTACGGGGCAGAGCTCCACAGGTTCAACCGCTTCCAGTGCCAGGTTTGTGTTGGCTCTCAGATCGAACACGGTCTTGTGTGGTGCCACGCGTTGTATTTCGACTTTGTGTCTCTTTATGAGAAAGCAAGATGGCCTTAAGGCAAGAATCTTGTCTCTTATTCTTTGAGTCCTAAGGTCAACTTGTGAGTTGGGCTGGTACAGCAGTAATTTGTCTGACTGTCATTGGGAAGTTCCTAGTTCAAGTACTTCTTGGAGACATTGTAAACATACAGATTTCTAATTATCTTCCTTGATTTCTCAGGCAATGGCAGAATAGTATCTTGAAATAGGCCACAACTACTTCCTTCTAAATTTTTGCCCACTCATTATTCACAGTTACCTTTGCATCTTGTTTGACAATATCTAACTTCTGCAGTTGAAACGTACTTAAAATTATTTGTTATCAGGACTTTTTCATCATCTGTTTTTTAAAATTCAAGACGTTTCGGAGGCTGGTTCTGTCTCCTTCTTCAGGTGAGAGGTACATCCGCTGTTGGGTCCCTTAGAAAGAGCTAGTCCAGTGATTTAAAGTACCGTCATGAAAACCCTTTAGAATTGAATGAAACATACTTGTTAACTAACTTAAAATGTATATTTACCTGGTGTGGAGGATCTGTGTTTCAAATCACTGTCAGATAGCCATGAAGTATGTTCATAATGAATTCTTCTCGGGCTACAAGCAGTGCAGGGCGGCTAATAAAGGTAAGACCCAGGGGATGAGGACGAAGATGGTTCTTGAAACGTCGGTGTTTTATTCATTAAGCCGCCTTACACGGCTGGTAGAACGAGAAGAACTCATTATACTTACTCGCCGTGAAAGCTTCAGATTATACAAGTCTGTTCACATTTGCGGATGTTGTCGTAGTTGGTTTGGATGATACTTAAATCAGCGCCTGGACTTCTGTTTGCTTTGTCACATGTTTTGGTTTTTGTTGTTAAACGGTGGTGAAATGGTGTTCTCTGATTTGAAATACGTTTTCCAAGTGAATTAAAGTTCAGTTTTAGCTTAAGTAATTGAAGCAATGGTTATGCTGAACTGATACGAGACAAAATTTAAATTCTCCCTATAATGTTCACGTAAACGTGTTCGGTAGTTTCAGAATGCGGGTCGATATGTCCACTCTGTAATGGCCCAATTCCAGTCACATGCGCTGTGACCGACCTTATCTGTCGATTGATCGTTCCAGTTCTAGCTCGGAGAGTGAGGACACGGACGAAGATGACGACAGTCACAATACTGATTCTCAGCTCACGCCCTCTAGAGACAGCTGCTCCAGAAACATCACATTTGAGTCTTTGTTCCCTTCCATGAAGCAGGTTTATGGCACGGAGATACAGCATCCAAAGAAGTCGGATGTACTAATGTACAAAAGGTATGGCATGTTATTGAAAGGTTAATGTTTTCCACCATACCTGTACTTACTCTGCCACTCACATTGGAGCCCCCCCCTCCCCTCAACTGACCTTCCTTCTCTTATTCGAGCCAAGGCCCATCTTAAAGTAACAGATGTGAGTATGGATATTTTAATTTTGTGTGACAGCTAAGATTACTGTAGCGTTGGACACGTACCATGTCAATATGTACAAATCGGCGACATGGTTAACGTCATTTGTATTCTTTGGTTTCAGGTATGTTCTGATCGGCCATTCAGCGATTAAAACAGATACAGAAACGAGAATTTCTAAGACGGTGAAGTTGGTCCAACAGAGTGCGTTCTCACTGGACACTACGTTTGAAGTGATGCCGCCCAAAGTGAGCAGGGCATCGCAGGAAATTTATCGTCAGTATGCGGAGAGGGGCAGATCAGGAGCCTCTGAACCGAGCCTGACGGACTTGATGAAATATCAGAAGTATGTCAGCAACGGTACCTTGCAGCGAGATGACTGGGACGATTCTGTTTGAATCGTCTGGCGAAAGGGGCCTTGTATGGAGATACAGAGCATAATTTATTACCTTATGTAAAATATGTATATAATAAATTTATTTGCATTTCACCACAGTACTATAATGCATATGGATCCCATACTTCTTGAGAAGCTGATAGTTACATAGCCGAGTAAGATATTCCTGTTTATGGAGTTTTCATTTCTGTACTTACAAGAGCCCGCCACTAAATGATATTCTGACCCACAGCATATATTTTTAATGTCTGTTTTAATATTATCGTCCTCTCTGTACCTGTCTTGTTAATTCTTCCCTTGTACGTCCAAATCGTTTTCTCAGCACCCCGTCATTATGTACCTCTCACGTATATTCTTCCTTTAAGATGAATACCATGTTTTACACCAATAAAAATGAAAGTTAAAATATTTCTATTTACGTTTTACATTTTTAGTTGGGTTCGTTTGTTTGTGGTTTATTTAACGACGATTTTTTCAGTAGCTCAGACTATACAGCATCGAGTGACAGGGTGATGGTGAATTGGAAAGGATGTGGAAGGAAGTGGTCGTGGCTTTATTTAAGGTAGCATCCTGGCGTTTGCCTGGAAGGACTGAGGAAAACCATGAAAAACCCCAGTCAGGATAGCTGGTCTCTGGGCCGAGATTTGAACCCAGGACCTCATGAGTATGAAGCAGGAGTGCTAATGAGTTGACCACGACGTTCGGTTTTTAGGCGGGGAAATGGGAAAAGATTCTGAAGTGAATAGTAGCGAGCATTTTCAAAATTTAAAATTTCCTCTTAATTTCTTCATTTGATGTGATTCTAATTTTCGTTTACAAAATATGTGAAGGCTTTCACATTTTTTAGGATGTTTTAGTTATTTATTTATCTGGTGATGTGACTTTATAATGTTACTTCCAGGCAGTTTGTTGGCATTTAAAAGAGATGTTCATTTATGTGAGTGTACAGTTTAATCTCACTGTTTTCATGGACCATTCATGTTTCATTCTGCAGCAGAATTGAAAAGCAATGGCAAAATTCTAATCTTGAGACCTATTCAGAACAGGGAATTGATCAGATAAAATGTTTACCTAAATGGACTTCAGTAAGTAATTAGATTCATAGTTTGGTTTCAAATCAATTTCTTCCTTTGTAGGGTCCATTTTCTTTTGTACAACATGGTTGCATCCAAAGACTAGATCCTACTCTTGTTAACTGTTGTTAGTATTTTATTTCTGTGTTATTATCAATGGCTTTCATTGAGTTGTTGCACAGATGTTTGAGAGCCTCAAAATATTGTACTTGTATTCTGATTTGAGGAATTTCTATTCCATGGTTTCTCTACTACATATTTTTTATTTGTCCCTCAGTTGCATTTTATAAATTGGCATTGTTCTGGAAATTTTGTTGTGTGAAGGTAGTAATTTTGTGAATGTGATTTTTAATATCTGGAAACTTTTTCATATTTTTTACATTTTATTGTTGGTGAACAAACATTAACGATCAAACATATGTTTCGTTGCAGGTATCCCACACTAAACTGTCTGTAACCATTATTTGACATTGGTTTGACAGATGAAATGTTTGTACTTGTTTGGTATTCTAAACCAACATGGGCAATTGAAAATAGTTTTACTTTTATGGTGATCCAAGTTGACTTGAAAATCCAGATTTGAAAAACTGTTTTATACTAATAATGGGAGAGTGCAAGAAATTTAAAAAAACCAATAATTTGAAAATTAAAGCCTTGGAAGGCAGGGTAATAAAACAGATCAAAATGTTTTGGATACATTTTAAGAATATGCAAAGTGATACTCCCAAAGGTTTTGAATGAAAGATGACCAAGGCAGATCCAAAAATTAAGATCGATACAATAGATTAGGAAATGTGTAACACAGAATGATGTCCACTAAATTATTATTATTTTATTTTTTGCACTCCGAAAATACTTACGAATGGTCAATGCAGTTGGCAGTACTGAGAATGTGACCAAATGCTGACATGGATGAGGTTTGGCAGGTAGACTACGCACATAAATTTAAAAGAAGAGTAAGGTTATTTCACGATGAACAAATTGTGGAATTCCAATTATGTTTATTTTACACAACAATTAGGCTACGTTTTAACCATTCTCATTGCTGCTCTTCGTATCCGTTTGAGATCCATAGTTGGCAAAACTGAAGATTAGCCAGCCAATAGCACTGAGTTGTACATTTGTTTTTTTATCATGTGCAGTTTACAATTTCTAACACCAGATGGAAGTAGCGTAGTCCTCTTCCGGAAGGCATTTTGGATAACACGTTGTGTATAATGTGAGTTAAGGGATTGTTTTTGGTTATATGCAGTCCTGATGTTAATGAAAGTTTCCTGTGCATTGCATCTTCATTATCTGAGTTGCTTCTGCTGTTTTAACATTTTATTTTACTTAATTATCACAGAGTTAATTTACTGACTGGTGTATGATTTTGAACATATTTCGATGTCTCACAAGGTTTTATTTCGTTTCATTTGCCAATTCTGTTTCAGATAAGCCGGAATGCAAATTTTCGTAAAAACCCTAACGGGTAAAACTATAACCCTCGAAGTTGAGGCGTCGGATACCATAGAAAATGTCAAGGCTAAGATTCAAGATAAAGAAGGTATCCCACCGGACCAACAGCGATTGATCTTTGCTGGGAAGCAATTAGAAGATGGTCGCACGTTGTCGGATTATAATATTCAGAAGGGTGAGCCAGTTTCACGTTTTACTTGGTAATCAGCTGTCAGTGTGCATTTTGTTCTGGTCAGTACTGAAATACTGTGCTTTTAAAACCATTTATCTTCAGCAATATTTAAGTGTAAATTACATTACGCCCTCATGTAAATACTAGAAACAGATAACCAAATTAGCTTTCATTGAACTGTGGTGGAATGACTAGATTTTGTGCCATTAATTAAGTATGATAAATAAAATTCTGTTTAGAAAACATGTCAGCTGCTTTGGTAATTTTGTTAATAGTTGAGCATGAGGTGGAAAAACATTACTGATGACTCACATGTATTAGATTGTTGCGTGAGAATAGAAGAAGCCATTGAAATTTAAAAAAAATGAATTTGTGTATTCCGTAAAGGGCAGTTTATAAGTTGACTAGCTGAGTGGCTGTTAGCTTCTCAAGAATCAATGCTGCATGGAGTTAAATCCACCTTTTTAATATTTTTTTTTGGGCCCTCCCAAAGTCCTTATGTGTCATAATGTATGGTGTAAGAAAATCAGATGAACCAGAAAAATTCGTTCATTGAAGAAGTAGACATTCAGTAGGTAAAAAGCATGTGGTAATCTTTATTGGAAGATACAGGTGTTTTTAGAGTTGGGGTTTTGCGTAATTAAGTAGAACAAGAAAGTGTTTGGGGCAAAGTTTAAAAAGAAATGTGGTGATTGCCGACATGTAAACGTACGTGAAATTGCTTTTATCGATCTGTGAGGTTACGTAACTGAATGCTTTCACTTGCTGACAGAGTCCACACTCCACCTGGTTCTGCGTCTTCGTGGCGGCGTGATCGAGCCAACACTCCGTATCTTGGCTCAAAAGTACAACTGCGACAAGATGATATGCCGCAAGTGTTATGCCCGGCTTCATCCGAGGGCTACAAACTGCCGCAAGAAGAAGTGTGGCCACACAAACAACATTCGCCCCAAAAAGAAGTTGAAGTAGACTGAGGTAGCGCACGTCTGCCACAATCCAAGCTGTACGCTGATCAGGTCAGGAGAGAGGAAGGTGGAGTTTAGTTTTGCTTTTGCTTTCGAAATGTTGTGTACTCTTGGATTTAATTAAAGTCTGGTTCTATAATGTCAAGTTCTTTTCCTCCACATATGCATGTCACCATTAGCCCAGTAATCCATGCAAATAAAGCAATGTGAATTTGTGAGATCGGAGCACTGTAGTATAGAATATATTGGGGTCTTCACGTGTCAGTATGTAGCATTCTTTAAGGTAAATGAAATCGTGGGCGAACAGAAACATCTATGGCATTGTGTGGCCACCCATTCAAACGCATTACCTTGATGTCTTTCTTACTAACTAACTAGATGCCTTACGGATCCCGAAGGTTCATCACCGAACTAACCAAAGCCCTCCACCGGACCCTGTCCTGGGCCAACAAAATCCAGTCTCCTTCGACTCCTATCTCCCATAGATCCCGCCTGAGATTATCCTCCCATCTACGTCTAGGTCTCCCCAGAGGTCTCTTCCCCTCAGGCTTCCCAAATAGTGGACCCAACCAACCAGATGGCTTAGGGAACTCGAATGTTCATCACCGAACTAACTAAAGCCCTCCAACGAAATCCAGTCTTCTTCAACTCCTATCTCCCATAGATCCCGCCTGACATTATCCTCCCATCTACGTCTAGGTCTCCCCAGGGGTCTCTTCCCTCAGGCTTCCTGACCAATACCCACTGCACAACTCTTGTCCGATCCATGCGCGCTACATGCCCAACCCATCTCATTCTTCTCGACTTAATCACCCTGACAATACTGGGGGAGGAGTACAAATTTTTAAGGCCTTTATGTCTAGAAAAATGAAAGGTCTTGTATAATCTATGAAATGATGCTGTTTCGGGTAAGTGTTAACACACGAATATCTGTTTTGTTTTTCGTCTTCGTAGTAAGTCACTTTGATTTTTGGTCCATTTGTTTCATTTGTGAATATTGCTGATTGAATGCAGATATGTGATGTTAGTGCAAAGTTCCGGAAGGTTTTTTTCTTTTCAGAAAAGGCACCTACGAGATGTCAACAGACATTAGTTTAATGACTTGCTTTTCAGTTGTGTTTGTTCCTTCTACGAAATAAATTTGCATACTTTCGCAGTTGCAGTGGTTATTCATTATAATTGTATTTTTTCATTATACCTATATAAATATATAATTATGGTTTTAAGCATCATTTGGAAGCAGAGTTATTAGTGAACAGGCAAAGAATTACCAGTGCACGAAAGGATGCAATTGTGAACATCATTTTATTTTACATTTACCAACACAAACACGTTTATTTATATTGATATTCAAGGTGTTCGGAACATTTTGTATAATTTATTGTTATAGTTCATTCATTTTAATTTTGAAAAGTCTTCTGCATTTGCCAGAATTGCTACGTAATTTTAATATGTTATTCTGGTGGTAAATTCTTGTCTATAATGTTGGGTATCCTGTTTGGAAAAGAAATTCATGCTCCATGTGGTGGACAACCTGTCAATATGGCGTTAGCGCCCATTTTTATTTTGAAGTCAAATTGTGGATATATATTTTCTGTTCTTTGTTCAGTGTATACGTGAGTGTTAGATTTGTGAACTTTTTCTGAAGAATTATATTTTCAACTGCATCACTGTAAGTATTTATTGAACACAAACTGAAGTTCTTATGTAGTGTTCTCCTTCTAATGTTATTGTCCTGGATCTGCAATGAAATACCTGTGGAACATATTCTCTTATAAAAACGTTCTGGATTAAAGAGTTATACAAAAATAGTACTACGAGATTAAGTTTGCTAACTTTTCCGTAGGTTTGTCTTTGTAATTCAGTGTAGAGCTGTAAACAGTGCAACATTCAATTATGATATATTAGGCCTGTTAGCCTTGGCACTGTGTGGTGATAAGAAGTGAAAACATTCGGTTTATGCGTTCGATACTTCGTGTGGTATCCGAGGAAATTGACAAGGTAAATAAGATGGAGTAAACTGAGAAGGTGAGATGATTGTGTTTCAGTGTGTAGTGATAGATTTTGTAGTTCTAAGTAAGCAAGGCGTTGTATGTACATGTATTAACAAGGTGGGTGTTAAGTGCCTTGAAATTTTTCATGTTTTTCAGTCCCACATAACCTTTAAAGTTCCTTATGCTTGTCTTCGTTCAACCACGAAGTATTTTGCTGTGTATTAACGGACTAAGAGCCAGTTGCTGGTTTCAATGTGTGCAGCTTTTGTAAAAACATCGTAATTGATTACAGTCACATTCAGGAGTGAGGGCATGGCAAAAGGCACAGGGTGCAGGAAAAAATGAATGAAGGCAGATGTTTTCAAGTAAGACTATATGAAGGTTGTGCGGGATTGCATAACTAAAAGAGACTTAGAAGTCATTGTGGATTTACCATGTAAAATTAAGTGCTGTAGTCGGGGCGAATCTGTGTTCTCGATATCCTTTGGAAGTAAAAGTCAAAGAGTTTCAAAGAGGCGTGACTGTGTAGCAGATAAGGAAGGATGTACTGTCCGTACTACAAACATTATCTCCCAGTGGCAATATTTTGTAGCTCGCTGTCTCAATTTTTATGCCGTCAATGTATTTGCTTTGCACTTTCTTATGTAATGCGTTGGTTAACTTTCATGCTGATTTATTTTTTCTATAGGAAAAGGTCGGATTATCTGAATGTTCTCTAATGCGTCCTAAAATAAACCTTCGTTTCCTCAACTGCGAGTCGATACACGACGAGACCGCTGTGTTAACCGCTACGTACATGAGAGAGTAAGGCCGGGCCTGACCCGGTAGGCTACCCATCAATACACAGCAAACTAATATAGCTCGTTGCTTAGCAACGTAACTCGCGTGTCGATTTATAAAAGAATTTAACAATGGCTGGCGAGAGCTTTCACATATAAATGAAAGGAAAAACGTACTTCGTAGGATTTATTTTCCTCCGTGTATTTGGCCTGCAGGTTAGACAGAATGGTCGTCTAGAGTAAAAATATGAATAAGTATGTTTAAGTTTAAGTGTTAATAAATTTTGGATCAAACGGTGGGAAATATATTTTAATTTATTTCAAATAATGAATATAATTAAAATAAGTGACAATAATAATAAAGATGGGTAATTATTAACATGAATTAAAACATATTATTATTTAAATCTTGTCCGTCTGATCACAATAAATTCTTATTAAATATTAAAATATTACAATAATTAACATTTAAAATATTTAAAACATTTTTCGGTTGGCGTCGATTTGTAAGAAGTTGTCGCCTCCCCTCCCCTCCCCCCGATATGCAAAATGGGGTTTGTGTGTGGCCACGATATTTAGTGTGCCTCGAGTGTAGAAAGGTCGCGCGACACTGGTCTAGATGGATGGTTGGATTGATTGAGGAATTAACTGATGCAGGAGTGGGCGTACGGATTACATAAGAGCAGGCGATTCTTGATCGATTGAAAAGAATTAGGAAATGTAATGGCTGAATTTGCGTGAAGTTTATTAGTTATAAAATATATATCACTAGGACAGCCTCAGCGAATTATGCAGATCGTCTGTTTAGGTTAGGACAGACAAATGGAGGATTCTGCGATGGGCTGGACATGTTGCTAGGATGTTGGCGGGGAAACGAGAAATGCTTATAGAATTTTGATGAGGAATCCTGTTTGAAATTCGCCACTTTGAAGGCCAGTACAGATATTAATGTGGATCTCGGGGAACAAATAAAATCTTAACACATCATAAATATGGCGGCGCGTCGGTTCTGTTGCTATGGAAAGGACAAACGCTTCGTCTGAATCGCTCGGGAGCAAACTCTGGGCTCTAGAAACAGACGCTTCCAACGCGAAGAACACGATGCTGACGTGACGTCATTATCTTGAGGTTTACGTCTCGCGTGTGTCGTAAAACAGGTCCTGTGTGACGTCGGCTCAGTCGGCAAAACGACCTCTCAATTCCGTCTGAATCTCTCGGTTGGATCGCGATTTGGAATCTCTCCTTGGGGACGCTGGTTTTCCTGAGGGCAAATTCTGGAATACTGCCCTGGCAATTGCTATCATAGCTTCTTTTCTCATTATTTTTCATCATTTTCATGTCTAACGTAACGTTAAACGATATTATGTGATGCAGCGTATTTAAATAATTCACGAAGCACCTCAGGCGACGTCACTACTCCAAGCGGAGGTTTATGTAACCCCATGAGCCCGGAAGTCTCTGGTCCCTGAACGACATCGCGTCCCAGCAACCGTCTTAGCCTCGGACTTTGAACTCTGACGTCAGATGGCAGCGCATGCGCCCTGGCTATCAGCTTACGAGACTAAACAATTACCACTTTATAGATCAGTGGTAACTAAGAAAATCAACAGCTCCGAAGGTGATCTAAACAATGCCAGAGTCGGTTGTCACAAGGGAATAATTCAGTGCCTGACGCATGCGCGTGAAAGCATATTCTGTAAAGAAACTTCGCCGTGAGTCGATCACGTGATGCGCAGATCCATCGACTCTTAACGCGAGTTCCCGTGCGGCGATGCAGATGGCGTGAACATCAGAAATATTTTTATTTCCTGAATCCACTTTTGTCTATTTTATTCCGCAGTGCTCAGACTCCCAGAAAAAAAACATTTGCTCCATTTTTTATTATTTTCTTCACGTGATCATCAGACAAGACAAAAACTAGATGATATTATTAAAATTGATCTTAAAAAACAAGGTGTAATATCCAATTGGGGGCGTTTGTGAATCTTAGGTTTTGACGAAAGTAATCTCTTATCCCATTGAGACTTAAAAGAATTTATTACGCGGTCAGCCCCCGTCCCGAGCAATGGAGCCATCTGATTGGCCAGAAGGGTTCCTACATCTGCAGTACTTGAGGCTGAATGTTAATTTTCTCCCCCCCCCCCTTTTGGTCTAATTGGGCTGCAAAATGAAATTCGACGTAATGAGAAGGCGAGGTACGGCCACAAATTGAAAATTAACTTCAGACTCGGGTGTTAAGTGTCATCGATGTTGTGAGGGGGGGGGGGGGGGGGGCGTATTGTGACCGCACGGGAACAATGTTACAGCGGATGGAACTGGCAATTAAGTATTTTTTTTTAATTTTACGTTTGAGTTGTTGTAAGGCCCAAAGTCCTTCAACGGCGTTGCCATGGCAACGGTCATAACAACAGACTGTCCGGTCTCCAAACATTTGCTCTCAAGATTTGTTTTGAAATTGGCTACTAGTTATTTAAAAATGTGCTCACGAGGAAATTATGAGCAGATCAGAATCTGTTGTATTCGGGCTGCTATCAGATCAAATCGTAAAAATTACACGCAAAACTAATTTTACCTGTTGTTTTGTGTGGGTTTGAAACTTGGACAGCCATCTTCGGACCCAAACTCCTTGAGAACCTCAGATCCTACTAAAACACTAAGTTTGTCTGAGAGCAGGTGCTGATAGGAATATTTGGACCCAAGAGATGTTGAGTGACAGGAAGACGAGAAATGCGTTAAAAGTTTCGATTGGGAAAACCAGACTCAGATGTAGGTAGGAGAATAATATTAAAATTGGTCACGGCTTGGACTGAACTGGCTCAGGGCATGGGCCGGTGGTGGCGGACGCTTTTGAACACGTCGGCACGCGTCGTTCGTATAAGAGAAGAAGCCAAGTCTGGCAACCGCGCACGACGGCGAACGAATCGACTGGTTCGCGTGTTTCAGAAACACGTCTGAATGTTTTCACCTTCTTTGGCTAAATTGCACCAAGTAGGAGAAACACGGTCTCGCGCTGTGTTTGCTGGCGGAGCTGTATTGATCAGGGCGGTTCGCAGTGTTACCAACCTTTAGCTGTCGGTACTAAACCTCGGGGTTGTTCCGTTACCGAGGTCGGTCACGGACAAACACACTCGTCGTTGCCTTTTGTGAGTATTTTTTGTCAAGAATGAAGCTATTGCGTGTAAATACAGGGTTCCCCAAAAAGATGGAAACGAATCGTAACACAGAATATCGAATTGTTATGGATGTCCGTGCGTTGTGTTTGCGTGGTAACCTAGTGTGATCCGCAGTTAACAGATGGCACCACAATGTCTTTTGCCATGACGCCGTTGCTAACGTGTGGTTAAATTTATTAAAATGACATTATTTCATTAATTTAATGTTCGTGCATCTTTTTGAACACCCTGTATAATGCGGTATAACGGGACAGTAATGAGCCCAAATATTTGTTGACAAAGTAAAGTAATTGAATGCAGCAGAGAAAAGAAGGAAGTTTTCGCAACGCCAGAAAAACATTTTTTCATATTGCAGATATTAGCATCCATTTGGATCATTGATTAGTGTGCCGGTAAGTGTCTGTGCGCTAACGTCACTTCGTTATCGTTACCTGCTACTGTGAAGAAATCACAGGATATTAATTTTTTTTGTGAAGACGTTTCGTAAGTACAGATTCTGTTTACATCGGATGAACCCGTTGACTTTTAGGTTAGGTCACAGTCTTTGTATTTATTGACTTTCAACGAATAAGTAACACGTCGCTTATACGTATATAAAGGCTATCGAAATTTCGTGCAACAAATATTAAAATATTTATTGATGTTTGCAATTCACTCAATTTATCTTGGATTAATAAACACACGATTTCGCTGTGACTGTTACAAGAGTCGACGCAGGTCACGTGA